TGGATGTTAAAATAAAAAAGCACTTCTTAAATTAAAATTACTATTGTGCCCTTTTTTCTCCATTCCTCTTGTGCATTCTGATGTGGGAAGCTTCCCAAGCTAAAATCTCATATTCTCAAATCTTCTTTCTTTTCATCTCAGATTCTCAAATGTTTTTAAAATACTTCTATTTAATTTATTTATTTTCAGAAGATGATGTGATTTTGTTGAGAGTTTTTCGTCGGTGTTCAAATAGAGGAGCAACAATTGGGGGTTTCAAGGTCGTCTCGCTCATGAAGAACAAGGACGACGAGGTCGCAATGTTTCTGTGAGGAACCGCGAGAAGGAGCGTAAGGATCTTCTGCTGCACGCTTTCAAGGAAGAGTTCAATGTTAGATATGAACAAGCAAAAGTACCTTGTTTCGTTTTCAAGGTTGCGGGATGTGGTTTGATTAATTTAGCATGATTCTGTGTTGTAGTTTTAGGTTGATGAAGTAAAAAACTGTAAAAAGTGGTTGTGTTGTTTGTACAGTGTGCCATTGTTGTTGGGTTTATGTTTGTCACCATGGGAAACAAAGGAGAAGCGAACGAAGACGTCAAAGGAACAGGGAAGAGAAAATTGCTTTTGGCTTCTCCTTCTTTAAGAAGTTAGAAATTGTAGCTTTTCAAAAAAGTAAAATTTTAACTTTTTGACTAGCTTTTGCTTTTTTTAAAAGCTGCTATCCAAACATTAAAAAAAAGTTAAAAAGCACTTTTTTCTTAAAAAAAAGCAGCTTTTAGGGATAGAAAAGCCAATCCAAACATGCACTAAATCCTCAAGCTTTTTGGGATAAGGAATAATGTTTGTACATTCTTCATGCTTATAGCCATTCTGTAGCTGCTATCTACGAGAAGATTATCAGCAAAAGCAACCTTTCAAAATTGGGAGATTCAAAACTAGAGAAGGACATTCCACACGTTTATGCTATAAAAGGTATACCCTGATGAACGACGATAATTTGTTCATATCTCAAACTATAATGGTCCTACACACTTTCGCCAATCCAATTATTCCTATAATTACTTGCATGCGGGGGGTCATCTAATAATGCTCTCATAACTCGCATTATGAATGAGTTTACATATATTTATATATATAAATTGGATTTGTAAAAGTTGTGGTAAATATATAATGGTAATCTTCTATAATTAGTAAACATATAACCTAAAAATGAACACATAAGGTCCAGGATTTTCTGAGTTAAATTGCCTGACTAGAAGACCCATTAGCTATAGGTGTTACGTCAATTGTTCGGAAAAGTTAATAAATAAAAATGAGAACCCTTTAGACTTAGTTGTTATAACTTATGAGTTGAAAGTCTTGGATAAAGCACCATTTTATTACTTTTGAACAAAAAAAAATTATTCAATTAAGATTGATGGGATAAGTTTTATTAAAGTAATACAGTCAAATACATTAATGGTATTGACGGAACTAGTCGCCAATGATACTAACGAGACTCGTGTCACCGTCAGTACTACGTAGGCAGTTCTATTACTGTAAAACTTCGGAATGTTATAACTTTTGACTCGGGTATTCAAATTAGATGATTTTTTTTTATTTCACATAATTTTTTGAAATTTATGCAATGACACCTCATTTAACATATTTTATCTCCCACAAACATAGTTTGAATTTGCACCAATAATTCCTCGATTACAAGATCATTTAAATCCATAAGATCCTAAGTTCTTTCCGAATCAACACCATGAGATGCCGTATATGTCATCTTCTGAATTTAAACGCTCTTGATTGTGGTACCATTGTTACAAATTCGAATTATATTTATGGAAGATAAAACATGTCAAATGAGGTGTCATTGTATAGATTTAGATACCCAAATCAAAAATTATAGTATTCTGAAGTTTTACAATAACAGAACTGTCTACGAAGCATTGACATGGCATAAATTCCATCAGTATCATTGACAGAACTAATCTAATTAATTTCCAATGACATGTTTAATTGTATTAATTTGAAAAAACTTATGCATGTACAATTCTTTTACCCAAAAGAACCGTGAAAGTCTTTGATTTTAAAAGCAAACGTGAGTTTGCTAGTGGGCTCTTTCCCTACTGGTAAGCGTCACTGTCTACTGTCAATTCCTAAGAACAATTAGGGAGAAGGGATAAAGACGGAAATATTTAAAAAAAATGAAAACAAAGAAAAGAGAGCATTGAATCAGTTGCTTATACTTGACGTAAAGTATTATATACCCTAGCAAAACAAAGACGGACTTCCAGTGAAAAAGACTCGTCTTAGATACTTATGGAGTTGTTCTTGCTGAAAGAATTATTTTATGCGGAAGAAGTAGTTATGTGCATCTGCTCATTTCATGATTTAAAAGTTGGAGAATATATATTATATCAGATATTTCATGCAACATACAAAAAAAATAACTAAGATTTATTAAAGAAATATAAATAAATTTTATCAACTTTTTATATGTTTTATAAGATAATTTATCTCATGTACAGTGATAAATATTTCTCTTAAAAGAATCAAATGATTAGGTGGAATGGTTCTAACCTAAGGTTTGGTAAATATCGCCTGTTATCAAAAAAAAAAAAAAAATATCGCCTATGAAGTCTTGACTGCAGTCAATTATTGCATATCTGATTTTCTTCTCCAGAAATTCGTATTTAAATTTCTGAAAGTGATGAGAATATATTAAAAAGATAGGCACTTTGGAATTTTGATGGCTCTTCATAAATTGAATCAAGGCATCGGATCAGGCTTAATACGGATGTTAGTTAACAACTATAACCTTTTAAAAAATTCAATTCATTTAAAATTTATTCTCATGAGCTGAATTCCAGTTATTTGTTCTTTAATGAATATACTAGCCTGGTTATTTGTTGAAAGTTTCCCATATAGTTAAAAATAATGTTTCTACTTTTTATAATTATTCAAGTAATTATTAAATAATTTAAAAAAAGTCTATTTTAATCTCTCATTCTTATTAAAATTTGAATCAATCTAAAATATTTTAGCGATTCCATTCCTAAATTATCAATTTTTATTTTTAATTAGGTCTTTTATGGAAAATTTGAAATAATTTTTCATCGCTAAAAGACAACGCATATAAAATTTGAAACAATTAAAATGTTATGTTACAAAAAAATTGAATGTGTGGGGAACTCAATTAAACATGATACGAAAATAAATTTGTCTAATTTAAATTCAACGACAACTGTCTACCAAAAAATAAATACAAAATTCAACCACAACCTATACAGCCGCCTTAACTTTGCGGTCCCAGAAAAATAGTAAACGCCTAAAGTGAAAATAATAAGTGCCTTTATTATTCACATTCAATCATTGATGATAAAGCTTAGTGCTTATATGTTTATGAACTCTTCCCGCATAAACCCTTCCCAAAATTTAAGGTGGTTTTATCTAGATTATTCAAAAAAATTATAATATAATTATTAGGTGAATATTAAGTATCCTTTGAAGCTAATATTTGTAATATATCTTACTTAGTATATTATATTTCACATTCACCAAGTAGGATATGTAGCTAAATATTGACCATTAATTATAAGAGAGTACCTACAAAAATTTATATCTTGAGTAATGATACTTACACAAAGTTTCATTTAAACTTTTCCTACGCTCTCCCATCTAATCTATTCGACAATACCCATCTAGTGTTAATTTTTAAATTATTTTTTATCTGGTATTTCTTTTGGGTATAGCATATCTCAATTTTTAATAATCCCCGCATTACTGAAGTCATGTAGGAATAAATTATTAAATAGTAAACATTTATTAAATATTGTAAATTGAAGAATGTTAACAACACATTCTTTAATATATATTTTTTAGATAATGAATCCTCTGTAATTGATAAAAAATAAAAAAATAGGTCAAAATTTAAAACAAATTAAGATTAAATATAAATAAAATAAAATAAAATATGGATTGACACAAATTTAACATGACACGACATAAATTTTTTGCGTGATCATTTTTTTCATCACAAATTTTTTTATGAGTCAACCATTTACGAATTTTAATATCATATCATGGATGGATCCGTATGTCATAAACTGTATTACACATTTACACCCTTAAAACTGTCCTTATATTTTATTTTAAGCAAACACTAAGCGGTACTTTATGTCGGATTGTATGCCCATCCATGCACCTCTGTCTTACTCTCAAAATAAATCGAGCACTATACTATTTTTATTTTTCATACACATTCCTATCTTATCTCTGACGATGTGAAGCTCTCTAGCGTCATTAAACATCCTCTCCCCTAGAGGTTGCATGATCAGTTAGTGCTATTTATTACACTCCAAATCGTCAAATTATAATTAAGCTTTGCAAGCATAATTGGGATGCATAAAAATTAAACTAAATTAAATTGAGTGTATCGCATGTGCATTAGGTTATTTATTATTTATTAAAAAATAATGACAATGAATGAATATTATCTTTAATACGGGTAAAATAAAACTGAATGTTAGCAGTTCTTAAGTTTATTTTAATTTTAAAAGTTTTTAAATATTAAAATATAGGTTAATTTTTTTTTTTATTTATTGTTTAATTTAAGTCTGTTGCGATATCAATTTTCGTATTTTGAGGCTCGGTAAGAGATCAGGTTATCATAAGGTCAACTTGTGTAAATACAAGGAAAGTGAAGGACTTATCTTATTCATTTGGAAAAAAAGTTGAACGTATCCTCGAAGGATCGAAGTCATCGAACTAATCCATTTGGGAAAGAAAATGACTTGTCACGTGACACACAAGTAATATCACGTGTCATCCTTAACCATTTTAGACATTAGAATCCTCGACAGGTGTGGGCCCATGCGCTGGCCGATCCTTATCTCATCGTGAACGCTGATCCAAGTGGCCACTACACAGGCTACAACTTTGATCGCAACGCACGGTCTTGATCTCTCTTGACCCCAGTGAGTTGTTCGACCTTTAACGCCTGGCCTCCGTTAAATATGGCCTCCATGGGGGGTGATAATATCTCTTCCTCTGATACCTGGTCATTGGGATCGCCGATACGCCGGATCTGCTAAAATACGCTTGATCCTTATGGGCCTTCTCGACCAGTTGTGGGATGACACCGTTGCCGGTCCTCAGCCGGAGAACGGCCTCGGCAAGCTCCGAAAGCACCACACCTTCACTTTCCGTCCTGGCTCCGGCAAGGGTACGGCGCTGTACTCTGCCACGTTAATTACTCCCAACATAATTTACCGGCGATATTTATGCGAATAACAAAAACAACAACTATTATCATCAATCATGAACTGAATTATTATTACTATTATTATAATCTAACCACTCATATTGATTGACCTTCAAATCGGAGATCGATTTGTGTTTCGGGTTATATGCATCTTATCAGATCTGAAGCCCTAAACACACTTTAGAAGCTTGAAGGTTCAAATGATCTAAAGCATATGATCTATAGAACTATAGAACAACACCTAACCACTTTACTGTAGGGGTTGTTGCATCTGAAAAGCTCAAAAATGTTTTTCTCTATTCTTTTTTTGTAAGAAAATAAAATATGCTAACGTTCAGGCATATTTATTGATCAGAATCGGAGGCCGGCAGCGTGAGATCGTACGGTGATGAATCATCCGAGGAAGCTATGAGAGTAACCCGTAGTATTATGATCGTGAAACCGCCCGGGTACCAGAGTGGATCGCCTCCGGTATCTCCCGCCGGTTCCACTCCTCCGGTGTCTCCGTTTTCTGGTAAGGTGGTTATTTCTTTTTTTTACTCCGTTCAATGACAGTAAAAATGTCTAGTTACAAAGTTCAGTAACGTAAACGGTGCTCCAGAATTTCGGGTAGGGGAGTTTTTGTCGTTTTGTGGCATGGTCTACCTTTCAAATTTTTAGTGGACCATAATGTGCCAGTGTTTGGTGGGGGTTGTTATGATATTTGAATGTGAAAATGACGTGGACAACTTTATGTGGTTATCCACACACTCACAAATGGCAATTATTTGACATTTTTATGTACATTTACATATATTTGTTGGGTTCTACTCAAGTAACTCAACCCAAGTGTCAAGTAGCCAACTAGGGTTACTTGGTTATATTGTATTGTATATAAAATATAATAATTCGATGAACGGCTTGGTTTTGAAAATTTATCTTCTCATTTAATAACAATGACAGCCTTTCACCCCCTAAAAAAGAAGAAGAACGATATTTAAAAATTGACCTTGTGTAACAATAGAATGATCATATGTTGCCAATTGAAACATAGTATCGATCTGGTCAATTCCTGACAGTACCTTGTTTAGGACCACTTGCTTTTCACTGAGCTGAGTTCATTTATGAGAAAATTGTATTCTGCAAAGTGCAAGTGAACATTTAGGGGATTCAAATTCGTAGGAGGGATGATGATTTGTTTTTGTTTTTTTTAATCAATTAGCAATAATAACTGCAATAAATTGTATTGATGTGATGTGTGTATATATGTATCTTTCAGGAGCTAGAGAGTCCTATCGGTTTCGAAGAAAGTCGTCATCAGATGCGTACGAGAAGAGAGGCCAGAACAGATCAAACTCTTCTTCTCCTTTTGATGTGTGAGAAATGAGCCACATTTTCTGGTCTCCGGAAGCTGAGGATATTAGCTTTTGGTCTTTGCTGTATTCATTTTTGTTTTGTTTTCGTACGCATGTATGAATGTATGTATGTATGGGTTGAGTTGAGGATGTGCCTCAGTTCAGGTAAGGTAGCTGTTGGGTTTAGCTTCTTTTAAGTCTTAATTAGGCGAGCTGCGTGACGGTTGGTATGTTGTATGTAAGAAAGTACAAGGTAGTAGAGTAGCCGTGTATCTTAATCTTATTATGTATGTATATAGAGAGCCTTTCCTGCTTTTGTAAGTGATGTTCATGTCTCCCTGTAAGTTTTCGCTTGCTGAATAACAACCTACTACTTGGTCATTTCTGGTACTTTGAATGTCATGTTTTATACTCGAGCGATTTTAATGAGAGGATTGGGGTCTGAGGACTCATTGCGTATGATCCGATATAGAAACTAATTTTGTCTTCAGAAAAAGACACTTGATAATGGGACAGCCAGCCTGTCCAAAATCACTGAATATGCTATTATAATTTAATTATTTTTATTTAAACCAATGAACAAATTGGGCCTAGAGAAGTTAAATAAAAAAATACACTCTTTTCTATTAAGAAAATGATCCGCTTTTAATGATAAACTTGATCTTTTTATCAAGACCTGCAAACAAGCAGACTTAATCTTCATGACTGCAATATGGAATGCCGAATAATGAAGGATCAGATTAATAATTCATAGAATTTATTTATTTTTGGTATGCAGAGTGAGAAACATTGATTTAATGTAACTATGAATATTCTATCATGGATGCGTTGAAATCTAAGCAAGAATTTGTTGTGTTGGAGTGGAAGCGGGAGACAATCACTCAGTCTCCATTGGAGCTACAAAACTACACCACAGTCAACATCTCGCTGACCATTCTCCCCAGTTTTAATGCAACAAATTGACCTGTTCCTTTCATGCTCGACTTTGTGCTCCCAACTTACTCTTACTGATGCTGATATCTAATCATTCGTCCTATTTAATTTGAGTGCAGACCCGGTCACAGAAACAAGAAGATGGAATAGGATTCCTACTTTTGCTACTCTTCTATTATCTCCTTTTCCCTTACTCCTACGGTTCTTTTAACGGTTTTTATGCATTTTTAACTTCCATTCCATTGATTAGCTTATCTCACACGTTATCTGTGCTTGTCCTTCTATCCATCATTATCTGATTCTGATAACGTGTTAAGCTTAATAGAAAAAAAAAATGAAAAGGGTTTTAACATGAATTCCAGCCTAACCAGAACTGCTGTCACAAACTTGCTGATGCTTCAAAATTTAGCACCCGCGTACTTATCCAACTTGAAACCCAATTTTATTTTTTATATTTTATTTTTTTGACGTAAACTTATTCACCCTGTTTTAACATTATTTCTGCTATACAGACATGCATTTGCCTACATTGCGTGGTTTTCTCTGTTTCTTCTTTCTCGCTCTTTCTCTCACGCAACATACATGTACAAATGCAGTTTACAAATGTCTTTTCCACTTAGCCCACATCGTCGGTATCCTTGTTTCATAATAGTTTTCACATTCTTTTTGTTTCAACTCAGAAGCTAAAATGGGCTTATTTGTGGTTACATCATGCATATGATGCTGCAAATGTAATTCTGTTTGAATAATACTATTGTCCGGAAATCCTGATTACCATTAGCTGGCCTTGAACAATTTATTTATTTTTGGGAATAGGGAAAATCCTCATACATTTGGATAGGTTGCAGACGTGCGTAATGACTATATTGTTATTTGGCTAGTAGATAGTGATATTGCACATGTTACATGTTATATATCCAGCATTATGCATTTTATTATTTTGTTGCATTTATTATACCTGTAAATGAACTTGGAACGAGTGATCATTCGAGAAACCCAATTTGTTGAGATTTGTTAAAATCTCATCCCTTTTGGGGAACATTTTTCAGGTACTGAAATTGTTGATGTTGATGCATCTAGTGGCAAGAGGCCGACATTGAAATTATAGCGTGACATAAGACTTGCATTGTTATCATTTGAGATTTATATATATCTGTATGGGATATGACTGTCGTTTGGATATATTAGGTGATGTTTATATTTGACGTGAGAATAGTAGTTGTCTATGCCAGTATATATCCTTTGAGTTTGTTTACTCTTGTTGGAAGAACTGTATAAGCTTATGTCTTAGGAATAAGTGTATCACTTTAGACATTGATGTTGTGGGGTATGAACTATGTTTTATGGAATTCATACTTAAAGTCTTGAAATGGTGTAGGTTATGTATGATGTATAAATGAAAGTTCATTAAGGTTGCATGGAATCTATGTAGAATATGGATATGTATAGATAGGTTATCTAGAAAGTACATATTAAAATTTATAAGGAGTTAATCATGAAAAGAATTGGTAAAGATGTGTGAAATTAAATGACTTAGTTAAATGATTTCTAACTGTTACAAGCTAAGTCAAGTATGAACATAATTTTGGTAATTGGACATCAGGTAAAAAAATGGACTAGGACGTGACGCCTAGAAATATACTAAGTGGATGACTTAAAACGATTAGTGGCTAAAGGACTGGTCACCGAATGAATATTAGATTTAATTAGGTGAATGATAATGTATAATGATAAATAAAAAAAATGTATTCATCTTTCGTGATATTGATTATAAATTAATATTATTAGCTTCCGCATTTTTTTGATTAATTAATTGCGTTTAATACCATAAAGTAAGATAACACATCGGGAGCTCACAAGGTGTTACATTTTAAGGTATAAGAGCACTTTCTAAGGAAAAAGCTTGTATGATAGATTGAGGGAAGTTTCTTGCTTAGTGATTCATAATGTTTAACATGATATTGCATTGCTAGATACTGAGTATAAGTCTGGCTGACTCATTCTTTAGTATGGTGATTGAAAATCATGATAAACACCGAGATACACTCGGACGGCTTCCGCGAATAAGAAATATAATATGCAAATGAACAACATAAGAAGTTAAAATATATCCAAGTTAGGAAGGAAGATAGTCATTCTAAAGTAGTAGAGTGAGATTTTAATTAGGAAAGTTAGGTGTGACTTTCGTGATTTAGCTAGAACAAAATAAGAAGATTGGAGAATAAGTGAGGGACTCTAGACCAAAATCTTGTATGATTGTATGTCAAGTAATGATATAGGATATTTTATTGACTAAGTAAAAATGTAGGTTGACATGCTTAAATTGAGTCTCATAAATATGTTTGTGTTTGAATAGTAATTTTTCAATGATTTGCTTTGGTGTATGTAACTTCGTTGAAATGTGATATAGTACATCATATATGTGTTTGCTTGTGTATTACACAAGACGAATTTCCTTGTATAATGTGTACTTTGTGTGTTTTATGCTCAGTAGAATTGTGATTGATTGGTTGAAAATGTATCGTAGAAAGGCACTTTATGAATGATATATGTATGTAGATATCTATATACATGTACGTAAAAGTGCATGTAGCCATCAGTTAAATAGTTGAGACATGCTTATTGAAATGATGAAACAATTAGATAATTGTACGTTTTAGAGTAAAGCAAGGTGTACTAAAATTGTTAGAATTGATATGAGCATTCTTGTGACGGTCGATGACCTGAGGAATGTCATTATTAAGATGGAAAAAATATGTGTCATTTTAAATGACACACCTTATATCCTTTCACTCTCACAAAGAAGTGGGACCCACATCTTTAAAAAAATTTCCACTCTTCTCTCTCCTATGATTTATCTATTTCTCTCACTTAAAATGACATAATTTTATGTCCTTTAAAATGATACACACTTTCCCCTATTAAGATAGTTTGAGCATTCCTGTAATGGCCGAGGGCCTGGGAAATAGCTAAGTCGAGATTGTTGCACTTTGCATTGATATAAACATATATAGTGTATCATATATGATATATTGGAAAAAAAATGTGTCATGTATTATTAAATGTTTTAACGATCTACTTGTGTGAGTAGTCAGGGGAAAACCTGAATTGATTGAACAGGTTTATTGACCATAAGGATACTGTGTGGTCTGTCCATTAGAGGGAGATATCCTAAGAGTGGTGACTCTTGGAAGCTCGTGTGTTGACCCTCCTTTGAAGAAAAAAATTTCTTCAAGTATAACCATGGAGGTGTCGGAGGATCGAAAATAAGAAACTATAACCCCGCTTACTTGATAACAAGTTAAGATGAAGAGTAACCAAGGGAGATTGATGAGAGTGAACTTCCGTTTGCCAAATGAGGCACATGTGGAAAAACAAAATTCCTATAGGCGCGTATTGGTAAGAACTAGAGTGTCGGTAACTGTGGCAAGTCAGACCACAATATTCGTGAGTGTGCAACAATTATAGAATAAGCTTCATGTATATCTGCGACTGCAAGCCTTATGATGAGAGTCAAGTGTACACCTTAGAGCCCATTGAATTAAAGAGAAAACTCTCAAGTTGGTCAGAGATACTAGTGTTGACTCTAAGGAAATTTCAAGGAAAGATAATAGTTAAGTGAAAGTTCCAGCAATGGAGATAAGCGGGTAGTATCTAGGACTGTACTATGGGAAATCTTGCGTGTGCAGCGTCATGTGCACATGCTTATAATTACACGGGTTGAGTGATTTCCATGACGCTAGGTTAATGTGTAAAATGTCGAACTATTGCATGTATAAATGTATATACTTGCACCTGAACGCCTGAGAAGGTGCTAAACATGTAATATATGTTAATGACTGTGATAACTTATTAATGTTAATCCAACTTTCATTTGATTGCTAATTTTGCAGGTGTTACATAAATTAAGGTATGCTAGTATTTGAAATTATTTCATCCTTACTTAACTTAATTTTGCAGGTGATACGTGAACTAAGGTATGTTAATACGTGGATTGATATTTTGATTAACATGTATCGAATGAAATGGATATGAACGTGATCTTATACTGTGAAAATATTTATAATTTATATTTTGTTTTTGTTTAATGACTTACTAATGTTGTAAGTTAAGATACAGTCAGAGTCATGGAATAGGACCTAAACTCGTATATGTTTTTGTATGAAAGAGAGTCTCTGGGTCATGTCATCTCTACTAGTGGAGTGACTGTTAATCCTAGTAAAATAAAGACAATCATGGATTGTAACAACCTAAGAATGTCATAGAAATGAGGAGTTCTCGATTTGTTTACCAAGAAGGGTATTTTATTTTGTGAACACATGTGTAGTATCATATATGTCAGGCGGGTCCAGGGAGAGCCTGTGGCGGAAAACATCACCAATGGGCTAAACAAGACCACCATATCAAGTGGGTACGACACCATGTCACAACTCAAAACCTTAAGACATTGGGTTCACGAGTCCTCCTACTTGTATACACTTTACTTAGCCCATTACCAACCAATGTCAGACTCATCACACTTGAATATTCAAATAGTTGCTTATCTTTCTTCCCACGTACAAATGAATATGCTGTATGTTTTTCCCTTCTAATTCAATTTTTTATGAGTGAGGATATTCTAACTACTAAAAATTGTTACTACTAACTTACTACCATCATATCACAATTGGATCAAAGAGAGAGAATGTTTAAAAAAAATTTGAAGAGAAAGAAAATGTTAATCTAATGGTGATTAGATAGGTAGTAAGTTGGTAGTGGAAAATTTTGATAGTGAGAATATCCCTCCTCATTTTTTATTATGTTGTATCTATGTTGCATTATTTGTTATGTAGTAGTTTATTTTGGTTCATTAAATCATGTGTTTCTTGTATGTACATAGAATCTGAGTTCATCTGTTGAAAGTTTTGGTTCCAAACTTTTGTAAGATGAAACGTGTAACAAAGCCATGGCTAATTATATCAGAGTCTCCAACTCACCACATAAGTTTGTTACGTTGCTAATTATTCTAAAGGAAAATCCGATTCACCATATAAGTAAACTAAGTAGTAAGAAGTCAGACTCGATGCGATTCAGAGATTAACTTTTTTCATCTTCAAGCCATGGCCAATGAACAGGTCATGGAAACAAACTTACGACTTTTTTTCTGTAACAAACTTATCTGGTCACTCTGACTTTCCTGTTAAAAAAATTCAGATATGACGACATGGAAACAAATTTTTTGAGTCCTTAATGTGCTCGTAAATAAATGGAGGTGGCCTGGAGTTTCCATAAATTAGTTATTTAGTTACATTTATCGCTTTTAGCATTCTTTTGAGAGGAGGTTGCGCTGGACTTTACAGAATTAGTTGTTGTCAATAATTAATTGGAAAAAGTATTTATCCATCTAAATGATATAATTTGTGTCATTTCACATTCATAAAAAATATGACTCACCTTTATTTTTTTTGTCCGCTCTCTTTTTCTTATGATCTATTTATTTCTTTCACTTAAGATGATCAATTTTACATCTTTTAGAATGATACACATTTTTTATAGAATGTTGTTTAAGGTTTTACATTGCCTACCCCTGGAATTTTGAAAGGTATAGTTAAGTTATATATTTGTTTTTAATACGACAAGATGAAAATTTGAACGTGTCTCATGAAAGCTTGACAGAATCCTTTTTTGACTTACTCGAACCCCAAGATAAAGGACTTCGTATACGGCAGGGCAGCTGAATGGGTCTCCAATAGTGCGGATCTTTGTCTTGCTGCATATTTTCGTGTGAAACCATCCAACGATGTACATCGTGCCTCAGAAGAAACATCGTGCAGACAGGACGAGTCCAAGAAATGGGGATAATTTTCACTCAAGTCAACTAATCGCCAGAGATTGCATAGAAAATATATTTTTCAGTTTTCTAATTAAATAAATAACCATGTAAAAGTGATGTTCATATGAGAATTCCAACGTGGTAATTGGTTAGTTATCCGATGTAAAGTTGAAGCCAAGAAGTAGTCATATATGATTGATTACGTTATCAGTGCCATAACAACACGGCAAGCCTCGCGAACTGGTCTCTACCAAAAAAACAATATTCCTATGCATTCATTCAGATAAGTGACATGAAATCTAGGCATTATAAAACATGAAATCTCTTTGCACTCACAAATTACATGCTAATTTGCCAAACACAAGCAACCAACTGGTGTCTAAAGCAATAATCTCTGCTCCTGCACAGAAGAATGCCTGGCCTGGGTAGTTTCAGTTTACAAATATACTCTCAGCCATTATATCATTGGCAATCTTCAACTCGTAATGGTGGAAGGCTCTCCCATCTTGACGAGTTCAACTCCGTACAAGTTGAGTTAGCTGGATTCCTATTTGAACCGCAAATCGTTGCCAAATAACTAGACATTTCCAAGTTTAGGGGGCTGCCAAAAAAGTTACATAAGATCCTAATATACACATAATCCAAAATAATATAAGAATCTAAAAAAAAATTGCAATAGCTGATTGATGATATTTACCTTCTTAAAATTCATTTTAGAAGGACCACTTCCTGATCCTCTATCAATGGGTTTCAATATCTCAAAGGAACATACAAGAGATTCATCAACGCTCAACAATGCACCAGCATTGTCAAATTCCCCACCATAATTTGGAGCAGAAAATATCGTGACTAATCTTCGTTTAGCGAAAAACTCATATCCATCCTCCACAACCTATAAGAAAAGGTTGCAAATTAAATTGAGACCTTAATCAGGAGAAGTTGGAAAAGTAACACAAAAAAGGAAAACGATTAAAATAAAAGAGCAAGGAAGACGAATGCCTGCAAATAGTTTGTCTGAGGCTGGTCTAGACACGATATGCATGTCAAGCAAGGAAAGCTTATGTACGTTACAGCCATTTAAAAAACATAAAATGTACATCGTAAGAGATGCTAAATGTCCTAATTCCAATCGGATGTTTTCGCATTGAATATCATGGGAATTGCTACTATCAAAAGGCCGTTAATTGATGAACTGTTGAAGAAGTGTATTACTTATAAAACTTATTCTACGAACTTTTCAAGTTCAAAAGTAGCTGGATGGTTTTAGGAGATTATGAAACAACATATTTTTTTCTTCTCCCCTTCCTGGATTCATAATGAATTGATGTAATTGTTTCCAAAAAGGTTGGCAAATGCACATAAGGTAAGAGCCTATCAATGATGTGGGTCTTCTTAAGTTTCATTAAAAAAACCAACTTCTATAACTTGTTTTCAATCAGCTCATATGAAGTAATAGGTTTACCTGATGTCCTCTGCAAACAAGATCAAGGTCATTTTTATCCAAAAACTCTGATAATGCATTAGGTCCAAAAGTACACGAAACGCCTCGGTCACTATCTGCCCAGCCTTCAATGTTAGAATCAGGATCAGACCAAAGCAGATCACAAAGAAGACCACTATCCGGAATTTCAGTAGGCCTCGTAATCTCCCTAATCTGATCTAAAGTTTGTAATTCCGGAGAGAGTCCCCCATGCATACAGAGTATTTTCTCATCAATGAGTGCAGCAACCGGCAAACAGTTAAAGCAATCGGTAAATATCTTCCATAGCCTAACATTGAACCTCCTTTTACATTCATCATAAAAACCATATATTCGGTTTATCTTTGCATCTTCATGGTTTCCTCTCAAGAGATAAATTTTGTCCGGATATCTAATTTTGTAGGCCAAAAGCAAACATATAGTCTCCAAACTTTGCTTCCCTCTGTCAACATAATCCCCCAGAAACAAGTAGTTTGCAGCAGGAGGGTACCCACCATATTCGAAAAGCCTCAGTAAGTCTTGGTATTGACCATGTATGTCACCTGCAATAGAACTTCAACATTAGGAACAAGGGAGGATGTGACAAATCAAAAAGGTATTGAATTAAAAAGGTATTGAGCAACTCCAACTGCATACTAATAATCTGCACTAGAATGCAAATTAAATCACATGGTTCCTATCCATGGCCAACAAAACCCGTATAAGATTCCTTTTTCACAAAAATATTGCAGATAGAGGAAAGACTGCATCAAATTCAAATACACAAGACAGATGAATCGAAGAATTTAAACTGCAATTTCAGGAACCAATTTTAGTAAATATCTCTTTTCTTTTTCTATCTGTTTTTCATTTATTATTTTATTGAATAAACAAAACATATATCATGGTGCAGAATTCAGCCACATTAACCAGCACCAAATCGTGAGATTTGGTAAAGGTGTTGATGGAAAACTCTCTCAAATCTCAAAAAGAAAGGGCGAGATAAATAAAATAAAATAATTGGGAAATTGGAAAAGAGAATGATGAAGGGATGGAAAAAAAAATCTAACCGCAGACACGAATGGGAGCACGAAGGTCGAGAAGAATTGGCTGAGAGAGGAAGATTTGTCGAGCGTTGACGCAGAGTTGACGGATCTCCGACTCAGAGAGCTGCACCTGTTTTCCTCCCTTCCCTTCTAGCAACCTCCTTATCACATCATCCAATACCCCCTTGTCCATCATTCCCTCCATTGTCATCATCATCATCTTCTTCTTCTTCGTCTTCTTCCTCTTCTTTCAATAAATATATTTTTGTTTTGTTTTGATTTGGCTTTGATTTTCCGAAATGGATGGAAAGAACAAACAAGGCTTTTGGAGTTTGGATGGTCAATTAAATGAAGCAAAAGTTGAGAAAATGGAACAAGATAAATTAAGAAAAAAAGAGTTGTTGAATGGGAAAATAGATAATAGATAGATGCACAAGACGGAGAGAAAGAGAGAGAGAGAGAGAGAAACAGACAGGGGTTGAGGTTTTTATATGACGTTCGATTCACAATCTGAGGATGCGATGCATTTCCCAATCACCCAAAATCAACGATTATTGATGTCTCATCCTCATCATCATGGGATTAAAACGGTTAGGTTGGGATTTTTTTATTTTCTGTTAATTATTTATTTTATTATTAATTTTGGGATTTTGGATTCAACTTTAAGGTTCAACTCTGATTTTTCTTTATTGCAATTTTCTATCTAAAATTCGCTGCCAACTGCCAAATAGACTACTCTTTATTCGGTTCAAAGTTGAAACCTTCAAAGGAGGGGACTATATGGCGCGTAAGAATATCAGGTGCTTCTCAGCTAAACATTCTCCACGTGGAAACCAATGGTTGGTCGTCTCTGTGTTGGTCAAATATCGGAATCGCAGCTGTATTTGCAACGTTGTCGTTTTGGCTTCGCCGTTATCCCCTTCGCACGCCAATAACCCCCTGCCCAATCCCTGTTCATTTATATATATATATAGGGATATTTTTTTTTTTTATGTTATAGGAAAAAAATTATCTCATGTTATAAAAATAAAAGTATAAGTGGAATCCATAGATAAGAATAGAGAGAAAAAAGAGTGATGAGACCTAACTTTTTTTTTTTTTATAACAATCTAACTTCTTTTTGTGTGTGTAAGAAAGTTGTTTATCTCATGTAAAATTAGATAATATATATATATATATATATATATATATATATATATATATATATATATATATATATATATATATATATATATATATATATATATATATACTCTTAATCTTATCAGCTGACATTCACTTTTTAAATTTGATTACACAACTAGTATAATTATGTTCTTATTTTAGCAAATTAGTATACCTCGTGTGCATGCAAACATTCACTCGCATGAGCATGTATATATATTTAATTTGCGGCATGATTCATAACAGAGTAACAATTAATTTCATCCATTCCTCCTCATAAGCGCTGGCTGTTTTTGTGAAGTCTTATTTGTACGTTTTAGTTGACTATTCACATACAGCTGACTTCTTATCGTGTTTTAAACAATCTTCTCACAAGTTGAAGAGGAAGAAACATATTATAATTATTCTCTATTGAAGGAAGCTAACCCATCATCAATGAGTTATGAGTAATGGATTCACTGTTCAGAGAGGGATAAAGAGGGCGATTGCCTCCTTTTAATTTTATCAAATTTTTTGTTTTATATTACATTCAGACATAAACGAAAGATAATATAGTATAAGTACATATCAACTCATTATTATATTGTCCTGCTTTCTCCTCATTTTTTTTATTTTTTTGGCTGCGCCGTTGCAATCTATCTGTTACCTATGTGTTTCTAAAACCATATTGAAGTAGGACAGTTCAGAGGATTAACAAAAGGTGTAAACTTCTTAGCTTTTTTACTGCACAAATATTTTCAACGGCTTGCTATTGCTAGAAATTAGAGAGAAGCCTATATACAGTCTTGATACGTTTACAGAGAGGACCACGTACCTATATAACGGATAAACTACAATTACAGTTAAGCATAATCAGGGCTAATCGGGGAAACTAAAATTATTCATTACAATAGTGTGTAGCTCTATTCAACATTTGATATATCTATATATAGGCCACATGTGTAGTAGTGTGTGTTACATATGTTTGATGAAAGGCCGAAAAGAGAGAGATGCATTGTATTTTTTCGTTTTTATGTATGGAACTCACATAAGTTAATTTGTCTTATATTGTTGTCTTAATTTTCAAATTATAGTCTGACTAGAGCTATTATTTTCCAACACTATTAGATTAGAATCTAATCTAATAATATTGGAGAATAGTAGATAAATATAGGGAAAAAAAGATAGATAAAATAATCTATCCCTATTATTTATCCCTTAATATGTTTTAAGGGTGACCGGCAATATATTTTTGGAATTTTTATTGATTTATTAATTATTCAATTAATTGGATTGATGTTATATAATATCATAACAAGTAAACATATTAAAATGATTGAAATATTTTTATTTAGAATTGCATTTGTTCTGGTTTCTATTACTTTTATCTGCAATACTTAGGTAATATTTAGTTGTATCTTTAATTAAGTAACATCTATTTTGTTTATTAACCTCTTTTTTCTTTGTTTTAATCCTCATCCACGGGATCAAATTGAGACTCTGCAACTTAAGAAAAGTGCTTTCTTAACAAGTTCTTTCACTAGGTGTACGATGTCTACATGTCACCTCGTCAAGAAAGAAACAATTGGAATTGCCTTGGTCGTTTGTCATGTAGTTCTACCTCAACTTATTCTTTTTTCTTAAAAACAAAAAAACAAATTGAACTTTACCACGTCAACTTTCTCATTATCCTCTTTTAGCTTTGATTTAGCGTCAGTATGTCAATAACACAAGAATCACGAAAAGAAAGAAAAAGCACTGGAGTACATGATCAATTTATTAAGGCATCTATAGTTTTTAGTCATTTGAGCATCTCAATCTCAACATCAATCTCGGTGAAAAATAAATAAAAACAAAAGGAGAGATATTCTCACTACCAAAATTTTTCACTGCCAACTTATTACCTATCTAATCACCACCCACTAGATTAACATTTTCTCTCTATTCCAAAACTTTTTAACATTCTCTCTTTGATTCAATGATGATGTGATGGGTAGTAATAAAATTTTGTAGTAATTAAAATATTCTCACTCTAAAAACAAAACCTAACCATTATTGCGTCATACTCGTATGGACTTCTAGCCCAGTGGTACATTCTTATACCTATTTTTAGGGGAAAAGATATTGAAATGCCAGCCCATTTGCAGTTGCAATGTCAAAAAATCATATTAAAGATAACAATGTTTTAAAAAGTAACGAGTTACGATACCGATATTAATTAGTCAAGTGATGTGCGAGTGTTAGGTGTCACCGCGTGAGGGTTAAAACTTGAAGGGAAGGACTAAGATCTTCTTCTACGTCCACTCTAATTTAAACGTCAATATCATCCTCCTCAGGCTTAGTAGTCCAAGAAGTTGAGGGTAAATTGTTTGTCCCAAAAGAGAGCGTCTTGGGGACCTTTTGAACCGTGTGTTGGCGATTCAGCACTGTTGGCTCTATTGCAGATTCTGACTTCTTGTACACCACATAAACTATGAGCTGGGCTGAGCCCAATATCAGCCCAATCAAATTTGCTATCTGCAATCACATTGTCCACAAGATTCAACTTCAGCAAAATCAATTGTTTGTCTCTTTTTCTTTTTTAGTAAAGAGCTTTGTGTAATTTGATACGGGATTAGTGTCTCTCTTCTTTTCTTCATAAGGTCCCACACATTTTGTATATATATATATATATATATATATATATATATATAAAATTATCTCATATAATATATAAAACATTAATCTTATTTTATAGGGGGAAATATAAGTTTACAAATTTTTTCATAAATTTTTACAAATTACACATACACTTCCGGAAGAACATAGCGTGGTTTGTAAGATTTTATAAACAAAAAATTTGTAAATATAATCCTTCTTTATTTTATATAAAAAATAAAATTATCTCATATAATATAAGAAGCATTAATCTTATTTTATATTTATATATATTGTTATTTGAAATTAGTTTATCTTGATTTTTTTATTTTGGCAGAGTTTATGTTTATTTAATAAGATAATTTTATCTCTTTGTTAGTTTGTACTGTTGGTCTTCATCTATAAGCTTAAAAAAATAAAAATAAGAGCGCGCTTGTCTTTTGATAAGAACCAGGAGCACTGACTAACCGGGGATGGCGTGTAGAATTAGAAATATTATTGGACTTCAATTGCATTGACTCTTAGATGGGGGGAAATTTCGGTACTCCTTTTTATTTATAAAAGGAAAAAAAATATCTTTAACACTTGCTTTCTTATAATTTAACTTAAGTGTAAAAAAAAATCTCTTTTAATATAGATGTACCTATAGCGGGTCGGGAGTATCAAAAGTTTTCTCTAAATAAAGAAGGCAACTTGACATGATGCGGAAACCTCAACAACAAGAATATTTTGAGTGCTACGAATATACTGAGTTTTCGATACATTTTTTACTCATAATGTAATATATGTTCTATTTTTATCAAATTATTTTTTCACCTAATTTTAAAATAAATTATTTATTAATAATTTTAAAAATGTAAAATACGTATCATAATATGAATAGAAAATACATCAAAAATTCAGTACACCTATAACACCAAATAATTTTTCCTCAATTACATGAAACTTTTGACCAACTTAGATTAGATTAACTATTTATAATACTCAATTTTTAATTTGGGGTTTTTTTTAGTTGGTAAGGAAAAAAAAATTCTTGTTACGTCGCATAGAATATATACTTAAAATGTCACTTCGTGACTACTGTTGAGATATATAGTCTCACATTGATTGGATGGGCAACTAATATGGCCTTTATAAGGTCTTGAGCACTCCCACTCTTTGAGCTAGCTTTTGGGGTGGTGACCTCAAGGTTCTTAACATGGTATCAGAGCCTCACCGTCCCCCGCTTTAAAGTGGAATTAAAATAAAAAAGCACAAAAAGGTAAACAAAAAATTGGGTCTGTGCAATTCCACGCTTCTAGCCTAAAGGACTCTTGCGTGAGGGGACGTGTTGAGATATATAGTCTCACATTGATTGGATGGGCAACTAATATGGCCTTTATAAGGTCTTGGACATTTCCACCCTTTGAGCTAGCTTTTGAGGTGGTGACCTCAAGGTTCTTAACAACTACTCATCAATCAGTTGTGTTTTAAGTAACTTCATAAGAAAAAAATATACATACGAGATCCATTAGGAAGATAAATTTTTGGTATTATTGTTGTATTTAAATGAATATAATATTTTGCCATTTTTAAAAAAGTACAATGAGATGGTGAATATAATATTTTGCCATTTTTGAAAAAAAGTACAATGAGACAGTTTTTTTTTTTAAAAAGTGTTAAATTTTTTTCCAAAAATAAAAACATGTTATACCTATTTAAATATATGAGTAATATCAAAGATTTATCTCTTAATCACATGCAAGGGTAGCCAACTCTTACTTTTTACATAGCGACAATTATATATATATATATATATATATATATATATATATATATATATATATATATATTTTTTCATGAATCAATGGTAATAATAAAATACTAAATTACATGATTATAAATATTCCGATATTATGCCATAAATTAATCATTTTAAAAGTTATAATTATTGAAGTGAAAAATATGAATAATTTTATAGTATATTTTTTCAGCTTTTATGAAGTAGAAATATTATTGTGGTTAAAATGGCTTTTGGGCATTATCAGGAGAGATGCATACTTAACGCTTTTTGGTCAAATCAATGCTAGCATTTCTAATAACTGAATAATTAAACGTTAAAGGAAATTAATTAGCATACTCCAATGAAGAAATCTTTGACGAGCAGGGAGTACAATGCCCATACGCCAGCATTCCAAAACATGAAAAATGACAGCAGAAACGGCATGTATTCCACGCTTTTCGTCTTTATCACTGTTTTCTGTCAGACGTTCATATTTCATGGTATAGTTAAAAAAAAAGATAAGTAGTGATACCAACAACAACAAAAAAAGCAGGGATATCTTTCACAAAATGAAACAGATGCACAAGCAATATTCTTAAACTTTGCCTTATTATTTAATTGGTAGCCTGTAATTTATTTAGTTTCCGTGTATTTTATCATTAACTTGAGAATTAATTTCAAGATATATGGTTTTCCCATTTTAACAGGCTGTTCAAAAGGATTTCCCGTTCTTCCATCAAATATTCTACTTTTTTCCGGATATTTGGGTTGAAATATTCATGGATTCGATGTTTGTTTACTAGCTTCATATGATTCAAAAAATACTAGTTTTCTCGGGCTCGCGTCTGATTAGCTAGTTGGTGAGACAATAGCTTATCAAGACGATGATCAGTAGCTGGTCTGGGTTTATCGATTATCCCATTAGTCTTTAATTTATTTAAATTTTATTAATGAAGGAACGAAACTAATACTTACCATGGCTAACAGTGGCGAGGCATACATGATAATAGTTAATCCGGAGCATAGCATTCCTAGAAAAGTAAGCTGGACTCTACTATGAAGAGCAAAAAGAGTTACTGAGATGACTGTTCCGAGAAAACCCACATCCAATACAGCCACCAACTGTGCCGTCTTAAGCTATAAATATGCATAGCAACACCAACTCAGTATTAATAAAGTAATTACGATAATCATAAGACATATAGTTTAGAAATTAGCATGATCTCTGTCTACTGGATCACAGTGTTAAGAAAAAAAATTTTAGGAAATTAGCTTCTTATAATTTAATGACCTTCAAATCTTGAGGTGAATATATGAGGTACAGAAGTATGTAGACACAATGAAAGATAGATCCAGCACCATTGACCGTGACGATAAGTAAACCGTCTGGCTTTAGAATTCCATAGAATGTCCACAAACTTGTGCACAAGAACGTGGTTATATATGGAGCTCCCTTGTAATTCCCTGTTGATTTCTTCTTCACCACTTGACAAAACGTCTTGCTTTTGATTTTGAAAACAAGTTAAATTAATAAGTTAAAAAATGAGAATGCCACTAAAAGTTACTAGCAGCTATTATGCTCTGAAATAATGGGGGGAATATTTATTATTAGGAATCAATAATCCACTATTATAGGATGGTATAGCATACGTACATGGGAGAGGCAAAAACCAGGAGGGATAACACATTGCCTGCAATCATATCATAGTTGAAAAAAAATGAATTCCAAATAAATGTTAACTTCCACTGTTGGAACAAAATCAAATATTTGATAAATTGAAAAATCTTATGAAGCTGAAGCTTAATATAAAGGAGTTGACAAAATAGAATAAAATCTGAAAAATAAAAAACATACGGACTTGCCAATAATGCCAACAGCAAAGGTCAAGCTTGCCATAGAAGAAGTAGACATAGGTATGGTGAAGAATGTGGTATGAAATATGAAGCTTGGATCAAAGAAGTTTCAACTTCTAGATTTCAACATATTTATATCATCGGAGGCTAATATTTTTTATTTTTTTAAGTTAATATGTATGTGCATGAACACCAATATCCATCTGGACATGGACAAGTAACTTCAATCAATCTGATTCTTTATTTACATACTATTATTGGATATTAATCTGTCGTCCTCTTAATGCACCGAGTTTGAATTTAATTAAGAGTGAAAATGAAATAGATATTGGTGCATGCTAGCTGGTCACACAGGAACAATTTAAATGGCTGCCTAGAGCTTTCAATACCAACAATTAGAACAAATTCTATTAAATTCTGATGCGATTCTTTGATGGCGAAAAGCTGTTTGCTTGCATTACCAACAAAATGGTATATTATATCGCTTATTTTTTTTTAGGTATGTGTACAGAGGGGGCAATTTCGCTAGATTTAATACTGCAAAGGCTGATTAGTAGATGAATACTTCAATTGTCGTGTTCGTTTCTCACTGTAACTTGTAAGGCATTCCTTATTTTTTTAAAGTATTTTAAACAAAAAACATTGATTTGAAAATTAATATAAAATTTTATTTTTATTAATAAGAGGATAAAAAAGTTTTTACACAAAATAAAATCAATTATTTTAATGATTAAAATAAAAAGATAATTCTATAAAAATTAATTGAAGTTAAAGAAAAAGGATAACAGCCCTTTTTTTATGAAAAAAATGTTTGTCATTTAAAATGACATAAAGTAATGTCATTTTAATAGAGAGATAGACACAATAAAATATTTTTTATTTAAAATTTAAATTAAAAAAAACCACTCATTTTCTCTCCCATGATTTTCATTTCTTGTGTCTATCTCTCTCTTAAAATGACATAACTTATGTCATTTAAAATGACAAACACCAAACCCTTTTTTTTATATATAAAAAAAAAATTTAACTAAAAATTTAATGAAAACTGCAGCAGCATCTAAGATGCGAATAAAGGACATTGGGCTTTTGGTTTACTTTCAAATAATTAACCTAACCCAATCCAAAAAATAGAATTATAAGGTCCAGAGTCCAGACCCATAACTGAAAAACCCTAGCGTAGCTTCATTTTCTAGATACGCCTTTAAGTAGTGGGAGTCGCAACAGCTTGCTCTTCCAAGACACAGAGCTGCAATGGTACTTGCTCTATTCTCCATCTAAGTCTGCTTCTATTGGTATTGATTCATCTGTGTTTGTCTTTGATAATATTTTATGCATTTGGATTTGTTACGCAGGGTATCGATCTCAAGGCTGGGGGTAAGAGCAAAAAGACCAAACGAACAGCACCCAAATCCAATGATATCTACCTCAAGCTCCTTGTCAAGGTCCCTTTTACCTTCCCTCTCTTTATTGTCTTTATCAGTATGAACCACCATATCTGTATTCATTTTTCACGACGATGATGATAAATGTGATCCCAGCTCTATGAGATCTTCACCATTTGGAAGGTCTGGGAATTGAATTTGTTCCACATTTGTCTGAGCCTTAGATAGAACGATTATGTTAGCGAAGATACATGTTAAAAATACTGTATTTGAGTATCTCTGTTTGTGTTGATTCAAATGTTTTACTTTTATTGCACACTTGATGATGGCTATTTTGTGCTTATAAAGGACTAAAGGTTCCCGATGATGCTTTTTTTTTACCATGCTAATGCTGATAACACATGATTGTTACTTTCATTATATCTGTATTCATTTTTCACGACGATGATGATAAATGTGATCCCAGCTCTATGAGACCTTCTCCATTTGAAAGGTCTGGGAATTGAATTTGTTCCACATTTGTCTGAGCCTTAGATAGAACGATTATGTTAGCGCAGATACATGTTAAAAATACTGTATTTGATTATCTCTGTTTGTGTTGATTCAAATGTTTTACTTTTATTGCACACTTGATGATGGCTATTCTGTGCTTATAAAGGACTAAAGGTTCCCGATGATGTTTTTTTTTTTTCACCATGCTAATGCTGATAACACATGATTGTTACTTTCATTATATCTGTATTCATTTTTCACGACGATGATGATAAATGTGATCCCAGCTCTATGAGACCTTCTCCATTTGAAAGGTCTGGGAATTGAATTTGTTCCACATTTGTCTGAGCCTTAGATAGAACGATTATGTTAGCGCAGATACATGTTAAAAATACTGTATTTGATTATCTCTGTTTGTGTTGATTCAAATGTTTTACTTTTATTGCACACTTGATGATGGCTATTCTGTGCTTATAAAGGACTAAAGGTTCCCGATGATGTTTTTTTTTTTTCACCATGCTAATGCTGATAACACATGATTGTTACTTTCATTATATCTGTATTCATTTTTATCGACGATGATGATAAATGTGATCCCAGCTCTATGAGACCTTCTCCATTTGAAAGGTCTGGGAATTGAATTTGTTCCACATTTGTCTGAGCCTTACATAGAGAACAATTATGTTAGCGAAGATCCATGTTAAATACTGTATTTGTTATCTCCATTTGTGTTGGTTCAAATGTTTTACTTTTACTGCATTTGGAATTAATTAGTCTCTTGTTGATGGCTATTTTGTGCTTATAAAGGTCTAAATGTCGCCCATGATGCTTTTTTTTTTTTTTTTAACCGTGCTAATGCTGATAACACATGATTTTTACTTTCATTATATCTGTATTCATTTTTCATGACGATGATGATATATGTGATCCCAGCTCTATGAGACCTTCACCATTTGAAAGGTCTGGGAATTGAATTTGTTCCACATTTGTCTGAGCCTTAGATAGAGAACAATTATGTTAGCGAAGATCCATGTTAAATACTGTATTTGATTATTTCCGTTTGTGTTGATTCAAATGTTTTACTTTTACTGCATATGGAATTAGACTAAAGGTTCCCGATGATGCTTTTTTTTTACCATGCTAATGCTGATAACACATGATTGTTACATTCATTATACTGAGGGAACTAGTTCAATATTCATTGTTATGTATCAAGTTTTGAATTTATTAAGTTAGCTCAAGCTTCTAGAGCTACCCTTTTTGCTATGTTCTGAAATAATGGTCAAATCAAATTTATGTTTAGTTTATGCATAGGAGGATTCTAACAAAATGTTACATGATCAGCTTTATCGCTTCCTTGTTCGAAGGACTGGCAGCAAGTTCAATGCTGTAATACTCAAGCGCTTGTTTATGAGCAAGGTTAACAAGCCTCCAATTTCTTTGTCAAGGCTAATTAAGTACACGAAGGGCAAGGTTTTTCTCTCTCTTTCTCCATTTGCGCGCATTTGTGTGTATATCTATCTATCGGTAGTTGTATATTTTGATATTCTTCTGGGATGTTTTTATTGTAGGAAGACAAAATTACTGTTGTAGTTGGGACTGTAACTGATGATATCAGAGTACATGATGTTCCAGCTTTAAAAGTTACTGCCCTCAGGTTTACAGAGAGAGCACGTGCAAGAATAGAAAAGGCGGGTGGTGAATGCTTGACTTTTGATCAGCTTGCCCTGAGGGCTCCTCTTGGACAGAACACGGTATGTGTGGGTAACAATTATGGGCCTTTGTGTTTTTCGGAGTCATTTGCTTTTTGTTATGATTGGAGGCTTTGATACCATGTAAAGAACCAATTCAACCCAACAGCTTAAGCTTTTGCTACATTAATGGTTTTATATATTTCAACACTAATAATGGTTCTTGCCCTCCTTAATCAACATGTTTTTTCGGTGACATCATTGGATTGGAGAATTGGTATCCTTTCTAGGGCTGGAAAAGGATCAAAACCATACTCTTGTAGCCATATGGTTCAAATAATATTTTGTTGGTATAGAGTCATGAATGGACCTTTTGTGTTTTGATTGCTTTAAATAATATTTTTGTGGTTTGATGGAAATGCATTGATGACATATTCATCTGATCTAAATTATTGATTTTTCCCTAGTATGCTGGTAAATATTTTGATAGGATGAGCTTGTATATGTTGAGTTGAAGATGATAACCTTTTTGGAAGGTAAATTTATTTATTTATTCTTGAATGCAGGTCCTTCTTCGAGGCCCAAAGAATGCTCGGGAAGCTGTGAAACATTTTGGTCCTGCTCCTGGTGTGCCACACAGCCATAGCAAGCCTTATGTACAATCTAAAGGAAGGAAGTTCGAAAGGGCTAGAGGAAGGAGGAAGAGCAGAGGGTTTAGGGTTTGAGTTTATAATGTTGCTCTATTTTTCTACAAGAAATTGGACTTTTTGCTTTATCATATGCAATGTGACAGCTTTTATGATAAGGATTTTCTGGATGAGATATGTTCTGTGTTTGACCTCCTTTTTTTACTTTGAAGTCTATTGTGAAGTTTTTTTAGAACCGTGGCGCTCTGGTTTAAGTATCATATGTGGTTTTGATTAATTACTAAGCTCAATTATAAATTATTTTAAAGACAAAATATGGTAATATAAACACATTGAATCTATAAGACTTTTGTAGCCTAATCCTGTGGCTTTATAAAAAAATAATGGGAGAGGTTATACTTACTACTTATTTTTTTTATTTGTTATTATTAAATCTTAACCGTTGATTTTCGTCAATCTAACGGTTATAATTAATGGGGTTATATTTATTAATTAATTATTAATTTGTAATAAATTATAATCGTTAGATTGACGGAAATCAACAGTTAAGATTTGATAGTAATAGGTAGTAAAAAAATTAAATAGTAAGTATAAATTAATTAGTAGTTTGTTTTTTCTCGAAATGTTTGATACAATGAAATTGAACAGACACATAAGTGGTTCTTCCGAGTCATTAATATTTTCACCAGTCCAAAGCCAATCTTAAAATTTATATTTTCCAGTATTTTCGATTATTAGATGTGAAATTTTTTTTGTTTCAAAATTTAATAATGTCGTTTATTCTCTTTATTTTCATTTGTGACCAAACTACAAGAGATTTAGCGAAAAAGTAAAAGTAAATACGAGAACTATTATAATAAACCGTGATATACTATTGAAATGAAAAGAAACATGGAGTGAGACGTTATTGAGTGGTTGGAGTACAACTGAAATGAAGAGCAATTAGGTTGCAGCAGAACATGTATTCCAACTAAATTAGGAGATAGGTAGAGCAGAAAGATGAATTTGATTTGTGCATCAGATCAGAACTTCCTGATGAAGTCGTAAATGTGATTAGTGATTTCCTCTGCTGTTTCTTGATTATTGAAGTGAGCCACTCCTTTTTGCACAACCACTTCCTCCAAATTCGGCACATCTTCCTTAAAACCTCCCCCGTGGACATACTGATCCATCCCTAGCGAGGTGTAAACCATGTCTAACTCACCTGTAATGAATTTCACAGGAACCTTGATTTTCACTCCAGTCCACGGTGCTGTCAGTTCCCAATTCCTGCAAATACACACACGTGTAATTAATTGTCTTTAGAATAGGGATCATTGTCATGTTGTACAATAGTCTTCAAACATTTAATTTCGAGTTTTTTTGGAAAACAATCCCATGCAACACAGAGAATCAGGAAATTACAAGTTTATACTTCTGTAGTAGTTCAACCCTCCAGTGAAGCCCGTTTTCTCAAATTTGGAGACAAAATAAGCAAGATCATCTTGTGTGAGCCAAGAGGGCAATGTCTCAGGGGTATCCGGATTGAATCCAGTTCCATATTCTCCCTTGGGCAACATTGGAGGACCAGTTTTGCGAGTTGTAAGGATGTTTTTCAGCACATATTCAGTCCCAACTTCAGCCATCTCAGCTTCCATTTTTCCGGGCTCCTACATATGACGCGGATTAAAAACACAATAAGAAAAGAAACAAAAAATAAAATGAAAAGAAGTAAAATAAATGGAAGAACCTGAAATCTGCAGATATAGTAGTCATCTCCATAGAAAGCACGCATGGCATCCATGGTCCTCATGTTGGGGTCTCTGCGAGGCAGACATAGGCTTTGACTCTGTCAGGGCGAAACATGCAGAGGTGCCAACCGATAATGGCTCCCCAATCATGACCAACAAGGAAGACTTGTTGAACAGCCAATAAATCAAGAAGTGCAACGAGGTCACCCACTATGTGAAAGTATGTGTAGTCGCTGACTGAAGCTGGGGCATCTGTGTCACCAAAGCCACGGAGATCAGGGGCAACGGTGTGGTATCCGAGGGAGCTGAGAGCCACAATCTGGTGGCGCCATGAGTACCAGAGTTCAGGGAAACCGTGGAGGAACAGCACCACAGGGCCTCCTTGTCCTTTCTCTGCGATATGCATTTTGATGCCATTGACTTCCACTGTCCTGTGTTGTATTTCCTCCATCTCTGTTTCTCTGTTATTGGCAAGTTAAGGATAGTTGGGATGGGTCAGAACTTTATGGAATGATTTTATAAGCACAACTTTCTCTATCCTTTTATAATGTGGGGCTTGCCTCTTTCACAAGAAAACAAAAGGAGGACGATAGTGCTTGTGGTTGGCTCAAAATGCGTTAAATAATAAATACAATGCATGCAAAATATCTCAATCATTCATTAGAAAACACAAGCAGTGGAAAAAAAAATTAAGATTAAAAATAAAAATAAGCTCTTGGTCGTGAGGAAAGTAGGGTGTTCGCTTAGTTCTCTGTAAGACTATACTCTAGTAGGAACCTTAAAAGAGTGTAAAACCGCATCAGTGTGGAGTGTGGACTATAACCTTTCTGTTCTGTGCACGTTTTTACAGAGAATTTTTTAGAACTTTATTTTGCTAGATAATAATTTATTTCTATTCTCAGATGATAAATATTTGATAAATAATACGTGTTTAATCCTGATAATATATTTTACGATTAATATATTTAATAAATAATATCGGAGGAAATAAAAAAGAAAAAATAATTACCTATTATTTCTGTCAATTTGTATTTTTGGTTACCGATTTATTATTTGGAACATAGAAATAAATTAGTTTTATCATATATTATTTTAATTTTCTTTTTCTCAGATTAAAAAATAAAAAAAAATTAAGAACATTGTTATACACACCTTAATTGTTTTAGGTGTAAAATCTTTTTCAACATTAGTCCGAGCATGCCTTTAGAGTGTAAAATTATATTAATTAAAGGTAATTTTGAATTATTAAATTCTTTTAAAAAATCAAAATATTAAATTCATTTTTATTAAAATTGTATTTAAGTTATTTTTATAAACATTTTGAAAATGATTATTTTTTCGTTTTTAGTTATTTTATAAACATGTACTAAATTTCTAAATCGGTTCTTCAAAGATTATTGTATTGCCGTCTTAATCTTAAAAGATTTTTTTTTTGTCAAGTTAATTTTTAAAATTATAAAATAATTACTAAATTTATTATTATGTGTCATCAATATATATTTTTTATAAAAAAAATAATAAATGGGATGTTTATTTAATTTTTTGAAAGAAGTAATTTAATAATATTTTTTTAAAAAATTAGTATAGTAATAATATAATATTTAAAGAACTTTTGAATTACTCTTAAAAAAACAATGAAACCATTTCATAATTTCGGAGGTCACCAGTATCATTTATCAATAATCTCTAATTACTTTATTAGTCTAATCATGTTGCTATAGTTAGGGGTGTTAACGGGCCGAGCCGAGCCGAGCTTTGATCTTAACGGGCCAAGCCTGTATTTAAACGTGTCAGACTTGTCTTAGCCTGTTATCTGTTATGAATATAATATTAGCCTGTGGCCTGGTTCGTTTACAAAAAGTAAAAGCTTGTCTCAAGCCTGTGGCTTGTTTATTTATTAAAAATAAAAACCTTACCTTCCAATTTGTAGCAGTATTTAGCCCATTAATCATGCACTGATATGTATTTTTTTGTAAGAATATAATAGTTGTTTCTTTTATAATAAAAAAACATTAATATTAAAAAATCAAAATAACAACAGCACCTTTACTTTATTTTACGTTGCTTTTTCTTAATTTTCTTCCACATTCTAGATTTTTTACATTAAATTTTCTTCCACATTCCTGAATATTCTAGATTTTTTACACTAGATTTGGACCCCACCAATAAATTTTCTTCCACATTTTACATTAAATTTTCTTCCACGGTCACCGCCATAAGCATCATTATAAGCCGTGGAATCCGCATGGCTTATAAAAATAGATGATGAACATGACTTCATTTACCTGTTGGTGGGACGATGACATAGATCGAGGAGAAGAGATAGAGCAGAGACAGAAAACTAAGAAAAAGATGTTGAAATGATTAATATAAAAATATAAAAATATAAAAAATAAATAAATTTAATGTATACGGGTCAGCCTCCAAGGCTTCAAGGCCGGGCTTGGCTATGGAAGCCTGAGGCTTTTTAAATAAAAAGACTTTTGCATGACTATAAGTCTAGGCTTAATAATAAAAAAAGACAAGCCGAAATTGGCCGGGCCTAAGGACCTTGGCCTTATTATCACCCCTAGCTATAGTACTAATATTTTTTCACGGAGAGAATTATATTTATAATTTTTTTATTTATAAACTCTTATAAACTACACTATAGAAATACACTAGGTACATAATGTAATTTATAAGAATTTATAAACGCATTCTTCCCTTTTTTTTTTTTTTTCAATTTTCCAACCATTTTTACATGATCTTTTCGGTGCTAGCTACTTTTAAATTTTAACTAATAAAGGGCATTTATTTTTACTTTGCTTTTATCGTCAAGCTGTACCTTTAATAATTAATTTATACATTATTTTGTAAATTAACAGAAGATTATTTTACTGGTAATTATATATTACATGCAATTAAAGCGTAAAAAATATAGGTGTTTGAAACTTTTATTTTTAAAAAATATAAAATATGATTTAATTGATAAAAAATTTAAATATTGATTTAAGTAAATTAAGAATTTTTTGTATGTCAAGTACTACTGCTAGTCAGGACAGAGTAATACAGAATCGTCCGAATGGCCTACCGCATTATGCTTTTCGTGGCAGGACAGACTTTGCTGAGAAGAAAAAACAATATAACGAGATTCAGCTGCATTCTGCATTCTAAAATGCATGGAATTATATAAACGAGATTGCCCAAGCAGACTAACTGTACTCGTGTTTTGTAGCAAATTAGCTTCTAATTAACGACCGGCACGAATTTTTATTCTTAATCATGAATTGTTGGGTAAATATTTTTATTCGTCATATACATTCCATCCGTTTTAAAAATTACTAGTTTAAAATTTTTGGTCTGTTTTACAATGTTGTTAAATCCCACCCGATTATTGACTCGGCTGGGATACTAGGTAACTGAATTACTGATTCATTCAATAAGTCATTAATTCAACCGCATGACCCAGTAAGTATACGTAAATCTATAATAAATATTAACAAA